GCTTTTAAAATATAATATTTTGTTATTAAAGCAATCTAATTTTAAGATGGTCTTCTTAAAAATTTTTAAAAGATAAAGGGATGGACATTTTTTCCTGTATATAATAACAATGATGAGGACTTAATCAAGCAAAGCAAAGCATAATTGATTCCTTCTCCACTTTCTGGAATCCATGTGATCTTTTCTTTTAAGAATAAATAAACAATCCATCTGCACCATCCTAATCCGCCTTGTTTTTGTTCCTGAGATGACTTGAAAATTAATAAACTTTTCGGCTGGATATGTGCCAAGTATCTCCTAATTTAGGGAGAGAGGAGAGACACAAAAAGACGGTTGCCAAATTTAAAAGAAGAAAACGAGGTTTTATGCTGCTGCAAAGTGGTCCCTATTGTACAGGTGGCATCTCATGTGGCAGCATATGTGGAAAAAAAAAAGGGTTTAACTGCTGACCGTTTAGGACTTAACGGTCAGCAGTGATGGCACCATGAACAGTGTTAGGGGAGGGACGACAACGAACAAAAAAAGCAAAGTAGAGGGACGACGTTTTGGCTCTTTGGTAGAGTAGAGGGACGACAACGAACATGTCCTTAGTAGAGGGACAAGAACGAATAAAATATTAAAGTAGAGGGATGACAGTTGGCTTTAAACCTTGATTTCAGTGTAATTATGATAAACAAGTTGTTATGAGATGGATTTGTTATGATAAACAAGTTGTTTTCAGTGTAAATATGACGTTCATACATATTTGAATTCTTAGAAAAACTTCATAAAAGTAAAGTTGATTATCTTAAGAACAACCATGCCAATACTTTTTTGCTAGAGATCCCACCTACAGTTCTTAATTCAAGGAAATATATGCTTGGAACAATTGAGCTATGCCATTTTGGCTAAACTTTCACATCCTTCTGGTAGTGAATTTGTTGATGAGTGTAGGTGATGTTTATTTTCAGCAATTTAAAGGAAGTAAGTCAATTGTTGCTTCCTTCTTGAACCTCTTCCTCCATGCAAATCATTCCGTTGTTTCAGCTCAGCCACTATTGCACCCTTAACAACAAAGATTGCAACAACCTGCATCAGAGTAATATAGACCTCTATAGATCAAATGACAATTCTGGATTCTTGTGCCAATGTGAAAAATCTAATGCTAGGAAATAAAGATACATGGAGATGGTTATTATGTTACCTGGTTCTTTGCCTCCACACTTTTGGCAGACTTCATTTTTCTTGTATAGAAACTGCAAGAAGCATAAATAAGTTGTGGTTTCTAGACATTATTATTTCAAGAAATAAGGTTTTCTTATGATTATCAGTTTCTAAATTCATTCAAATAGAAGGAAAGAAAATCCCTTTTTGTAAAAGAGAAGCAAATTTTCAAGTAACTGTTCAAAAAAAAAAAAAAAATTACACTGTCAAACCTGTGGTTGCAACTGACCATTACCTTGGAGTTTTAGCTTGATCAAGCTCTTCATCTTCATTATTTGGGTAATGGTTCTTCTCAAACCTTTCTGATCCACTTATGATTACTTTTCATCTCTTGCTTGTGACTACTGCTGACCACATCCTTCTTTTTCATCACTATCAAATCTTTTACCCCACTTTCTTCCCTTCTATCATCAATATCTACTCATTAGGAACTTTGTTCTCTTTCATGCACCGTCACTTTCCCTAGGATCAGGTTCCGCATCACACAACCATCACTTTCTACTTCTGTTTTCCCATGCCCCTATGCTTCCCCTCCACCCTTAGCTTCCAAAGTGCCCTTAGCTTCATCCTGTA